TTGATCCCTTTTTTTTTTTTTTTTTTTTTTGTAAGTTTACCATTAGAGAGAGGAAAAGAGAGTGAGAGACAGAGAGACAGGGACAGAAAAAGAGAAAGTAAGAAATTTCTCCCCTGGGATGTGGCCACACCACAACCTCTTCTTACCTGTTCTCCTCTCAGGACCTGGGCATGCACACACATGCACCCAGTGTGATTTTTCAAGCCGCCAGGTCCAGGAATCAAACCACACAGTCAGCCACCTGGGAGCCAGCCGCCTTAATCTCTATGCCACTTGCTGTCCCAGTTACCATGTCTTGAAGGCAGTTCTCTCCCACATCCTCATTTAATAGTCACCGCCTTCACCACCACGGTGATGACAACGAAAAGCAGAGCCTTTTCTCCTTAGCTCTGGGAGATTACGAGCGCTCTCCCTTGACCTCTGATAATCGGTCACTGTGTTTGCGTAGTTGTGTAACTCTCTTCTGAACCGTTTCATCATGGAGCTTGGCCAGGGGTTTATCTTGGCTCTTCCAGGACTCGGTCCTGTTCCTCTTCAGAAAGGTGAGGTAAAGCTTAAAAAGCCAGGTCAGGCCGCCTTTGGGATTCAGCTCACAGATTTTTCTTCTCTAGGCATTCTTCCTTAGTGCCAAATGTTTCTCACACCCTCCTTTGAGTCCCACAGAGCTTTGACCTCGTCCATTATAGCTACTCAAATATACTTGATGAGGAGTTTAGGAGTTTGTTTGTTTTTTTGTTTTTGTTTTTTTGTTTTTGTTTTTTTTTTGAGAGAGATTTTTGCTGTAGGGCATGTGTGTTCACTGGAGAGACAGAGAGACAGAGAGAAAGTGAGAAATCACCCCCAGAGTCAATGGCTACACTGCAATTCCTTCTCCTCCATTCTCCTCTTGGAATTCTGGACACACACATGCATGTGCCCAGCATGAGTTTCAAGGCTCCAGGTGCAGGACTCGAACCGTGGTCAGCCACGTGGGGGTTCAGCTCTCCAGCCATCATTCCACCTGCTAGCACATGATCAGGAGATCTTAACTCACCACCTAGTTAGGCCTTCCTTGATAGCAAGTCTGATGTGTCCCTCTACACGGGAGCTATCCATTATTTGCTGAACAAGTGATTGAACTACATAATGATCAAATTTGGAATTTAGAAACCCAGTTCACTTCCCTCATGAACCATTGATTAGCCTTTGTCTTTTTAGAAAGCAAATTCTATTTTAAATCCATATAGGGGCCAGCAGGTAGCATGGAGGTTAATGTGGTGAGATCCTGCGTGGCCTACTTTGTGGTTTGAGTCCCGGACCTGGAGGCAGGAAAAACATACCAGGCATGTGTACATGCATGCCCAAGATTCCAAGAACAGAAGGGAGGAGAAGGGATTGCACTGTGCCAATCCCCTCTGGGTGGTGATTTCTCACTTTCTCTCTCTGTATCTCTCTCTGTCTCTCTCTGGTGAGCGCACAAGCCTTATAGCAAACTAGAATGAATGAATGCTGTCTTATAAAAAGCTACCCCAATAGCCTGACATAACTAGGAGCTTAAAGTACAGTATGCATAATGAGCATAGTATCTGTAGAGGGCTCTGGAGGGCTGAGTCTCATTTTACACAGGGGGGCACTGAGTCTCTGCAAGGTTAGACAATAGCCCTGTAGCTGGCTGCAAACCAGAGCTATGGACCAGCCTGGTGATGTGGGATTCCTATTTCGGGTTCTCCCTCCCAACTTGTTTAATATCCATTCAGACATTTATTATTTTTTTTCTTCTGAACTTTCTCCTCCTTCCACCCAAAGGGTTATTTCTAAAATGTTGATATCTGAAAATGTTTGTTTTGTTTATTCATGCCACAGATTCCAGAACGGAAACAGCTCACCATCCCAAAGATTGAGTCTCCGGAAGGTTACTATGAAGAAGCTGAGCCATATGACACATCCCTCAATGGTACATTCAGGGCTGGGGCTTGCAGGGGTCCACATGCATCCTACACGGATGTCAGTGCTGACTTGTCTGGTGGTAGCCACTATGCCTGTCCTGGACTAGAAGCAGAGAACAGTCTGGGCTGCTGTTCCTGGACACCATGGCCCACATTGAGAACTCCACGCAGAGCATTTGGGCTTTAGTCTGAACAGGGAGCCAAGATCTCTAGCAGAAGCATCCTGCCTACAAGGAGATGCCAGGGGAGGCAGATGTGAGCAGGCTTATTGTGTCGGGTATTTCCTGTGTTCCCACCTGGAAGTTACAGGACTTAGCACGGAAAGATGACTGAGAAGGGACCAGTAGTTAGCATAATGGCTATGTCACTGGACTCCCATGTAGTTGACCGCAGTTCGAGTCCCAGACCTGGTGGCTTAACTCAGGCCGGGCACGTGGGCATGCATGCCCAAGATCCTGAGAGGAGAGTGAAGGAGAAGGGATTGTGGCATCGCCATCCCCCCTGGGGAGTGATTTCTTGCTTTCTGTCTCTCTGTCTCTCTCTCTGTGTCTTTCTGGTGAGCACACCCACCTAGCAAAAACCCCCCCAAAAAAAAAAAAAAGAAGGATAACTGTTCTGTCTAAGGGGCACAGCACCCCAGTAAGCCACAGAAATGGTGGCCAGACTGAATCTGAGCTCAGTTTGCATGTCTTTTCACTGACTAATAGTTATTGTGCTCTGTACTCCTATTGTGGGTCATGACCAGAGCCTGGCTGTCACAGCTCTTAGATGTAGTGAGAGCAGACAGTTGACAAATCCACATAGAATGTGTTGGGTGGTGATATGAATTAGGAAGGAAAACAACAGGGACCGGGTTGCAGGAAAAGATATTTCTGTTCTGTTACATTAATTTATTTATTTGTTGTGATTTTCAAGCCACCGGGTCCAGAACTCGAACCACATTTAGTCATGTAGGTAGGAACCCAGTGCCTTAACTACCACAACACCTGCTGGCCCCAAAATGCTTTTTTTTTTTTTTTTTTTTTTTTTGACA